AATTATATGTATGTATATGTATGCATGCATGCATGTATGTACGTATGTGTACGTGTATATATATATATATATATATACATATATGTCTGTACTTTCATACGTGTATCTTATGTGTGTATATACATGTCGATATGTATGCATGCATGCATGAGTGTGTGTATGTATATATATATATATATATATATGTCTGTATATGTATATGTATATGTACATGTACATGTGTGTATTGTATATAGTATGTGTATGTGTATATGTATGTGTATATGTATATCTATGTACGTATGTATGTAGGTAGGTAGGTGTGTATAAGTAGCTCTGTTTATGTGTGTCTCTGTGTTTCCATGATGCAATGTACAGACACGGCTTACGGCTGTAATATGATGATATATCATGTGAGGCTGCGAAGAGCCGTCTGGCAGAGCTAGGCGGAAGGCCTTCTCCGCCATCTGCGAAGCCTGGCGCAGACAAGCGCACCCGAGATCCGAGTCAGCACTCCGGTCTTAGCAAGAAAGGAAAGACAAGCCCGAGCGGACCCAGCGACCCTGGCAGCAGCCCAGATCCCAATGCCAAGTCAACTCCGAACAGCACAAAGTCAGCCTCGAATGTTCCCACAGGAAAGCCAAGTCCGAGCGCTCCCAGCAACCGTGCCAAGTCAGCCCCCGGTCACAGCAGCCCGGGTTCCACTCCAAAGTCGACCCCGAATGGTTTCAAAGGAAAGCCGAGCCAGAGTGGTCCCAGCAATCCGGATTCCACTGCAAAGTCAACCCCGAATAGTGCCAAAGGAAAGCCGAGCCCGAGTGGTCCCCGCAACCCGGATTCCACTACGAAGTCAACCCCGGATAGTGCCAAAGGAAAGCCGAGCCCGAGTGGTCCAAGCAGCCCGGATTCCAGTGCAAAGTCAACCCCGAATGGTACCAAAGGAAAGCCTCCCAGCACTCCGTCCCAGACTACGCCGAAGTCGACCCCAAGCCCTAGCAAGACAGGGTCACCGAAGCGGTCCAGGTCTTCAGACAAGGAGGCGGGCTCGTCATATAAAGAGTGAGAAAGCAAGAGAGAGAAGAAAGAGAGAGAGAGAGAGAGAGAGAGAGAGAGAGTGGGAGAGAGACAGATAGAACAAGATACGCACAAACGCCGACAAAACCCCATGTGTGTCCCTACAAACCTGGATATCCATACATACATATATATATATAGTCCGAAAATACAGATACCTATATAAGTGTATATTATATATATGTACACACATATATTAGTCTGAAGTGCCAAAAGCCGCAGCTCTTCGTAGGGGAAGCAGAACCTATGTGTAGAGGCTTTCCGGATCCTTCGGGTCATAATAGAAATTGGAGAGGGGTGGAAGCAATGCATTCTGGGTTTCCTTCTTTTCCTGTGCTTGTCTCCGCTCTGTCTCTCCCTTCCTGCCTTCCACTCTCTGTCTCTGTCTCTTTCACTTCTCTCTCTCTCTCTCTCTCACTCTCTCTCTGTCTCTGTCTCTTTCACTTCTCTCTCTCTCTCTCTCTCTCTCTCTCTCTCTCTTACTCTCTCTCTGTCTCTCCCTTCCTGCTTTCCACTCTTTGTCTCACTCTCTCTCTCTCTCTCTCGCCTTCTCTGGGCTTCTACTGCCAGGGTTCCCCGCCAGCCAAGCGGGGGAAAGGTGTCAATGGTGAGGCCGGGTGTGTTTGTGCTTTGCCCTTGCAGCCGGCTTCCAAGCTCGACAGTCGAGCACTGGTTGGTTAGATGATGACCCAGCTTCATTGCAAGCCAATCCTTCTCTTGTGCAAAGTGTGCACACACCCTCATCTGTTCGTACAGGCGCGAGGTCGTGAAGAATCGGGCAAGAAGGCGTGACTGCATGCATTCAATCAACAACACACGTGTGCCGGCTGTTGACGTTCTCGGTGCTGCTTTCTGTTTTGAGGGTAAAAGGGGTTGTGCGATGATACGGCAGGAAAGCACCGATGCCGAGAAGAAGGTAGCCGCTTTGGATGCCATGCTGAGGAGAATCTGCACCCCCAAGCCCAAGTCCGGCAAGCTGGAAGTTAGTGATGAAATCCACCAACAGTGGAAGAAGGGTGGTTCAGCCCGAAAAGAGTTGCTCGATGTCCTTGTCAAGTGTGATGGGGATCGGGTAACTCGACAGGCAGTTAATTTTTGTGAGTATGGGGCATGTGTTTCTGTGGGGCCGTCAGTGCAATACAAAATGCCACTTCCACCAGGCAACTTTCCTGAAGAAGGTGGTGCACATCCGGCATAGGGCTCGGAAGAACAGGATCGTGGTCCAGGCCGGCTGGTACAGCAGGCAGGCCATGAAGGACAAGCTGGGCTGGAAAGAGCCTGCTCCTCTGTCGTATTGACTGACAATGTTCCTATTACACTTGCAGTGTGTACATGTGCCAAGGGACCGAATCAAAGCTGCCATCGCCTACTGTATGGACAAGAAAAGGGTGAAAACCCATGTCAGGCCTGAGGCATTATAGCGCCGGTTGTTTGCTCCTCTCGCTCTCTTTTTAACCTTTGGTTCCACCGTCTTTGTCCCTGGGTCACTTTATGTTTCCGGGTATGTCTCGCTCTCACTCTCTCTCTGTCTCAATCTCTGTCCCTCTATCTCTCTCTCTCTCTCCCTCTCCCTCTCCCTCTCTGTTTTCGTATACTCTATGACCTTATTCTAATGCCTTAAGATTGCCCGAGCCCAAAAGCATATTGCGATTTTCACACAATGTTAATTGTCCATTGACACAAGACATACTTATGGATCGAATCCCGAACACAATGCCCGGGCTATGTTTAGGAATTCGGAACAACGAGCACTCTAGCAGTAAATCCGGCTTGTATAGGGCCTCCTGCTGAGAGTAGTCGTCCCACCGTCATGCCCAGACCTGCATTCCAGGCGTGACAAGTACCAGAGAAGCATCCGGGAGTTTTGGGTTGACACGGAGACAACAGGCTCGTACGAGGACGAGCAGGGTGAAAGCTTTCAGGAGGAGACAGGAGCTGAAGGCCAAGCTTCCAGCTTCATCCTTGGGGGTGTTGGCCCTGACGAGCCACTCCCTATTGGAGCTGCTGATGATGAAGATGAAAATGAAGATGATGATGATGGTGGCGAAGAAGACGAGGCCAGGAGGTCAAAGGCTAGAGGTAACGAGCTGGAGCAAGAGCGTGCTCTAGAGGCTGGGCTTCGACTATCTGATACATGCACTGTGTTACTGTCTTTAAAGTCATTCCCAAGAACAGTGTGGCAGGCTGTCGAGAACATCGGCGCCGTCATGAGCAACATCCTCAAGATCCAGCAGAAGCTCGAGACTACGATCGAGAGGTTGAAGCAGCTGGACACCGACGAGGCCAAGAAGCCTCTGTTCCGCAATTATATACAGATTGCACGAACCCGGAATCTGTCTCTATATGTATATACTCTAGCCTGACACGAAATTTCCGAGGGCCGTGACTAATTTGATGAAGCAGTGCGAGACTATGATGGCACTCCATGATGATGCTGCTGATTTACGAGCCTATTTCGATGGGCATGGCGAGATTACTGATGAGAGCCTTGCCTGCATCTGCATCATGAAGATTCGCAGGGTCGCCTCCGATAGGTTCTCAAAGTAAAATCTCTGTCTACAATTCAGGATCTCCGAGAAGCTGACGAAGTGTGTGCAGAAAGCCGAGACGACGTGCCACAGAATAGTTTTCACTCTTTTTGCATCATGGCATGCACTTCCTTGGCCTATATTACATTGATCACTGTCGGTCCAGGTGCAGTCGTGGCCTGATGGAGGACACAAAGCTGAAGAAGTGCAAACCTCAGCAATATCACTTTGGCCCCCAAACAAGTCTGCAACTACCCTCTATATATGTAAGGACCCTTCTGCGATCGAAAGCGCCAGCCCACGAGGACATCGATGTTGTTGTCTTCAAAGCCCCGAATGTCCCCAAACACCCCTTATAAAGCCTATATAAACCACAATCTACACGATTTTGCTGTCTTCAGAGCCACAGATTCACTACACCCGAAGCCCCTATACAAACCCCAAACCTTCGATGAACTGACAATGTATTGATTCCCTCGAAGCTTTGTGCCTTCCTTCGTCTTTTCTATTGAAAGATCTTAAGAGTAGATATTCCCAATGCAAGATTTCCGAAAACCAAACATCATCAGGATTGTGTCTTATAAGCTATACTCGGCCAGGCCGGCGAGGCCCCTGGATCATCAACGGACAAGCCCAAATCGAAGGGCAAGGGTGCAGGGAAAGGGAAGAATTCCAAGGGCAAGGGTAAGGGTGCCAAGAAGTGAGCCGGTGTACTGCTATGTGCCATTGATAATGATTTTCTGGAACCGGCCTGCGGGGGAGCTGGCCGCCATGCCGCCTTGTGCGAGTTTGATAGACTCGTGCTGGGCGCTGCTAGACATAGGAGTGGCTGTCTGGTCTACATAGTGTGGGCCGTTGCGGCTTTCCGATGCTTCGCTGTGTTACTCAGGGCTACAAATATTCAGGGTACTTTGCCCTAAAGAGAAAGGTCTTATATGGCATTTGGAGATGCAAAGGCTTCGGGGCCGAAAACTGCCACGTGCTAATTCGGTAGCAAAGCGAGAAAGCTGTCCCGCATTTGACAAAGAAACAACTTGGCTGTGCGTTCACATATGCACAATATATGGACTCGTGATGCTATGTCCCTCGCAGGGGCCTGCAAGCGCCGACGATGCGAAGGCCCAAGTCCTACGGCCAAAGCGATTGCAAGTGCTGTCTACAAGGGGGCTTCTCGCAGCATATATTAGATTATGTATGTTCGTATCTATATTATGTTGGGGATCTAGGGATATTTGTGGTTTTGTGGTTCTTACAGTTGGGGCTCTTTAGGGGATTTAAAATCATCGTTTGGTGGAGGACTTCATGGGTACTCAAGGTGTGTTTATTTTAATCGTATATTAATGGAATAAGTCTTTTGCGATTTCGTGGGCAGTCCAAACCTAGGCCAAACAAACGGATGCTTGTGCAATCGGGTCTGCTATGTGGGAAGAGATGAAAGGCTTACCTGGTGCCAAGGCTTCAGCAAGTGCTGGGTTTCTCTCAACTCTCCATCGTCTGCGAAGTACGGGCCACGAAAGTCGTTTGGGGGATGTCTTTGAAGAATTTGGGCTATCAGCCAATGTTCCTCTTTCTTTCGTAGAAGTTGGCTTGCAAAAGAAGCACCCCATTCTCCGAGTACGTGATTTCATTACAACGCTGGATTCAAAAGGCAAGCTTGACCTGTTGCTTTGTGGGAATACACCGGCCACCTACCTCAAGTTTTGGGATACTTACAGAAAGACTGCACCAGAACATCCTGTATTTGGCAAAAATCGGAAAGACCTCAGCTTGAGCGTGCCAGTTTGGTTGCATGCAGATGAGGGCACAGGGCCCAAGCGCCGCCCTGTGATGGTGGTTCAATACCAGCCTCTTTTAGGCAAGGGCACATCTCGTGGTGGGCAAGGATTAAACTACGTTGGGAATTCCTTGACAACGAGGTTTTTATTCAGCATCATGGCGGCGCGACTATATTCGGGCCCACTGAAAAAGAATCGCCCGCTACTGAAGCTTGTGCATGAATTTGCCTTGGATATGGGGTCTTGCTATGATGAGCCTATTTCCCTGCCAATGACGCCGGAATTTGAAAAGATTACATTGGTCCCATTGGGATTGAAGGGAGATCTTGTGGCTTTGAATAAGCTAGGCGGACTGACGAGGAACTTCCAAAGGGATACGTGGAGCAACGAAGACGGCCCCGGAATCTGCCATTTGTGTTCTGCTGGACAGCTAGGCCATGCCTGGCACGACGTCTCTTACGAAAATATGCTTTCGATGCGGCAAGATTCTGAGCTGCCCTGGGAAAGCACACCCTCCTTGATTGCAGAGCTTCCTGTTGACCCCGGCAATATGCCTGGATTCTTTCGTTTGGATGTATTCCACATCATGCACAAGGGTCTGCTCGGCGACGTTGCTGCAAACACTATTGTGCCAGCATTCATTCAGGAAGTTTTCTCTAGGCCTTGCTATCATAATTAATCTACTATTGTGTTTGCGACAAATACCTGGAGTACTGTTTCGCTGAGGCAGCATGCTACGATTGTGATCTTTTTGCACAGTCGAGCTATGTCAAGCATTTGGACTTTGTCTACTGGGACTTACAACAGTTCTGCACACAGAACAAGTTGGACTTGCACATGAATGCCTTGACGAAGGGTCAACTGGGCATGAACAAGGCCAGCGACTATCCTTCTGCGAGCCTTGGCCGCTTTTTTTGTCATTACATTCACAAGCATGCGAACAGTTACAGATTCAGCATCGAAGCAGATATATCAAGCCGATACAATCTACAATTTCAGTATGTGAACCAAATAGGACGGTGTAGGATAGATACTCTGTATGTGTACAACCAATACACTCGAGTTGGCATACCTCTTTGGTTTTTTGTCTTCGAAACTTACAGTGACCAGGCAAACAAATAAGTAAGTACACCTATATAAATAAGTTGACGAAACCACGTATGTAAGTAAGTATAAGTACAAGCTTAAGTACGTGTCAATCAATCAGTGACATAACTATATATTATATGTTCTACATCGAATGTTCGATTTCAAGACTAAGGGGGTGGTTCAAAGGAAACGACACGACCAGCTTGTGCGTGTACCTGGAAGCCAAACTGAAGGACGTTTTTCCAACGATTTCGGCCTGCGACCGCGACTACTTCTTCAACATGCTGGCATGCCTGGAGAACGGCAACAAACTGATGCGTCTGATGTACCACAGTAAACTTTGGTTGTCGAAAGCTGAGCGATCTAGCATGATTGTGCATTTCCGAAATTTGCTGACTGCATTTGTCAGCTGTGCACAGCATGCCTACAATCGGCAGATGTGCCGCTTCAAACTGCAGCCAAAGTATCACTGTGCGGGTGAAATTCTATTTGGGCTGGAGCATGATCACAAGTGGGGCAAGCCAAGCCTCAATCCGATTAGCAGTGCAGTGCAAATGGATGAAGACTACATAGGGCGCATATGCGCCATTTGCAGGTCCGTCTCGAGCAGAAGGCTCCACACCAAAACCCTGAAGAACTACTTGCTAGCTCTTGCGGCCCACTGGTGATCTTCTAATGCTGTTAACTTATGTTGAGCATCACGAAAGCATGCCAGTCCTGCAGTCCTCTGATCGCCATCGGGCTGCAAACATGTGCTTCGTGTGATTCCTGCTGACATTAGCGGTCGCTGAAAAAATCTTTGTTCGAGCTGACGGTGCTTGGCAAGTTCTACCAGGCAGTGGGATGAAATCATGACAGTTCAGAGCCTAAATATTGCGAGGCCCGGAAGCGGTCACTTTGACCGGTGGCGTAAATCAAGACTCATTCCTGCCACTTTACCCCAGAGGCGATAAATGCGGTCACCAGGCTTTCAAGGTGAACCAATAACCAATATGCGTAGCCGCGATGACCTTGATGCACCCGCAAAAGGCTCCTGCAAAGGAACCTGTGCATCTGGACAGGCTAACATACCAGGCATACCAACATTTTGAAGTGAGCGCCTCAATGGCAGTTCTCCTAGGGTCCTACTTCGTCACACATCGCCGTGCAGCTACGCGCAGGCCGGTGCAAGGATTCTGTGCATGGAGGCAGCACAGCGTGAGAGCAAACAAAACGCACTCCCAGACAGGTAAGCAAGGTACAATGTCCAGCATAGGAACGACGACTTACCCTGCTGTAACATGACCTATAACATGCTCCGCGAAGGGTCGAGATTGCCTGACTGGACGGCGGGGTACATTATCTCTGTGAAACACAGCTCCTCAGATGCGCAATTTGCCTCAGAAGGATGCAGCTTTGCACGCCCACTAGACTGTTCCGCTGCTTCTTCCAATCCCTCATTACCCTACACTCCAATCCATGCATGTGAAAAGGGGCACATCTTCACGGCGACCTAGCAAACTTGGGAGGGCTGCTGGAACGCAAGCGCAAACCGAGTCAGTGAGATGCATCCCTCAGGTGAGAATTAACTGTTTCGGTACTTAGCTACTGAGCCAGTTAGCCACTTAGCCAGCTAGTCAGTTTGAAAGTAGGTAAGTGAGTAAGTAAGCAAGTAAGATAAGTAAATCAGTAAGTCAGCAGCTCAGTAACATAGTCGGCTTGTGAGTAGTTAGCTCGTTCGCTACATAGTTGGCTAATCAGGTAGGAAGTCAACGTTAGGTAGTCAGTTCGTCCCTTCGTTCCTTCCTACCCTCCTTCCGTCATTCCTTCATGCAGTGATTCCTGCATTCCGGCCCTCCTTCCTGAAACCATCCATACATCCTTTGCATGCGTGCATGCATGCATACAGATATATATATATATATATAAATATATATATATATATAATCTTTAGTTACACATATGCATGTGGTGGATATGTGGATGACATGACTCTGGGGCGTAGACGCGCCGGAGGCGCTTGTGGAGCGCAGACCCTCGGGCAGCATGCAGAGCTGTCTTGGTGATGCTCACGGCAAGTACTTAGAATCGCATCCCCAGCAACGCTGGGAGCAAGGCATGTTGATGTGGTTGGCTGGGTTGTAGATCCGATCCTTTAGGCAGACGTATTTGAACGCTGTGACTCTCTCATGCTGGGATCCCCGGCCACCATACAGGTTCTCAAGCATACGAAATGCACAAATTATTCTATGTCCTCGACGAGGTCAGCCGCAATCCTCAGTCCACGGACACATCTGCTGTCTCCCATCAGAGATACGGCCCCATTGGCCCGGACCCGAAGCGCCAAAACCGCGAAACCGCAAACCCGAAACCCTAAACCCTGAAGCCTAAACAGTAAACCCTAGGCCCTAAACCAACCTCAAACCTCAACTCCGTAAGGCTTTGCAGGAGACAAGGCAAGGGTCAAGTTGGCGGCTTTCGCCGTGGCACCGTACACTGCGTCGCCCTGGATCCGGGGCACATGGCCTTGGTGTGGCTTTGGTTTGTGGATTTAGGTCCTATCTTCAGGGTTTGATGGGTCTGGGGCCTAGGATATCAGTAGCCATCGTGTGTACTACTCTTGTGTTCAACAAGCATTCCACTCTGAGACATCATCTTCGGGCTAAAGATGCTGGTTGCGTCTCGTCCTCGGAAATGAAGGCGTTTTTGAGATGTTGCTCTTCGCACAGATGGAGGATCTAGCTTTCCTGTCTGATACAGTGTGAGAGTTGGAGAATTTCATCTACCTCAACTGCCAAGCGCGGTCCGGTGTCAGGGACGGAGTATACCCCTCTAGGACAGCGCCACTGAGCTCAGTGCCCATGTAGCCAGGGATCTGCTTGCCTCAGGACAACAAGTGACAAGGCTCCAGGAGGCGCAAACTCCGCCCTAAGTGTCTCTCGGATATGCATCGAAGCTGCTGCAGTGCTCACGTACTCGGGCAGCATGTCGGGCCTTGTGTTCAGGCCTCCAAGCGAGGGCGGGAAAAAGCACAGCCAAGCTCACACACACACACACACACACACACACACTGCTAAGCCCTCTGCCTGTCGTCTGCATGCTGCTCTGCATAGAAGTGATCTACAATACGTGCTCGTGGGAGATCGTCGTCCTGCGTCACGGCCTGGGCTCATTGGTGGCACTCGGGCCTACAGCTGTTTTGGGGCATTCGGGTTTCGACTGGAAGTTAACTTTTATCCGCCGAGTACCCTCCACCTAATCCTCCTCTCTGCAGTCAAATGTTTGGAGACACCCTGTTTTTGCATTCGTTTGCCACCCCCTCGTCCGGCTTCCCTTCATTTTACCTGATTTGTCGGCCTCCCCCCCCCTCCCAGGGCCCCTCCCCCCCCCCCTCCAACCTTGTCGCCCCCTCCCCCTCTCCCCCCGCTCCCCGCCCCCCCTCCCCCCCCTCCCCCCCCCTTGCCCCCGTTTTCCTCTTGAAGATGGCTGGGGTTGAGAGGCCCCCCTAGCATCTATACAACATCGAATGCCCCCTCGCCCTGCCGCTAAAGAGCCGAGGCGGGCGGCGTAGCGTTAAAATTAACTTTTCTAAACAGGTAAGGAGGGGATCTTGTCGCCGTTGCAAGTCTTGAAGGAACCCCCAATTGGAACGTCAATAAATAAATGCTCACCGTTAGTCTTTCAGCACAGCTTAGCACGCAGCCGGCAGGTGCTCTGGTTGCGGGGCGCGCTCCGCAATGGCCCTGCCAGCCTCTTGAACAGAACTCTTTCCGATGAAACCAACCAGCGGCGTCAGTACCGTGGAGTCGTGAGAGTATGGCATTCGGGCACCCTAATCTCTTTTCAGCATAACTTGTAAGGACCCGGCCATCTTGCACGTGTGGATGATGCCACCACCGTGAATGTTTTCTGCATGCTTGCTGGGCCTGGGCTAAGATTCTTGATTGCGAGCTCCTGTACCCTACGCTGAGCCATGCACATGAAACCGCTGTAGCCAGGGATAGTTGGAACCTGTCAGTCCGGATCGCAGTAGAAGTCGATTCATGCGCAGCAGGGAAACCCTAAACCCTCTGAGAGGATGGCCCAATAGGACCGCACCACGTCTGCTCTGGCCTTGCCAAGAGGATGTGGGTCCGGTGCCTGCAGCCACAGAAAGGGTCTCCCTCCTGAGGGTTTAGGGTTTATAGGGTTTGTAGGTTTCGGGTTTTAGGGTTTAGAGCGAAGGCTCTCTGAGCATCCGGCCGGTTCGGAGAATCGATCCTCGGGGAAGGGCTTTGCCCGCTTCTGCCTCTGCACCGGAGGGATCCAGTGTTGCTTTCAGCCTAGACGTTGTCCATTCCATCCAGCTCTAAGGCCACGACGAGGCTGCCAACGCTTGCTGCAGGGCCGCCTTCTTCTCCTCCAACTGCCACCTGGCTTAAAGCAGCCTAGAGCCTCCAGGCGAGGGCGGCGAGGGGGTGTGAAGCTTCCCGAGGGCCCTGCTGCTCATCCCGTGCACCCGCGCCGACTGCGGCCTGCGTCCGACCATAGATGTCCTCACACAAGGTTGGCAGTCCGTACTGAAGGACCTGTGACGACTGCTTCCAGCGAGCACACACCCCTCGAGAGACAGGATCAAGGGAAAAAGCAAAGCACAGCTCAGTTGTCCTCTGCTTTGGCGGATGGGATGAAACCAGTGTAGCCGGGCACGCGCGAATTCATGCCTCGTGGCGATTTCATGAGTCCACGCACTGCTGTGGTTGCACGCAGGTCTTGCATCGGCAGGAAGGTTCAGATAGCAGTGCATGGACTCTCTCAGAGCCAGAAAGGTCTTCCAATCAATGCAACGGGGGGCGCATGGTGAGGCTGTGAGCCGTGCACTGCTCGCCCACTGCACGTCGGGCACGCTCCAGCTTGTCCTGCAGGCCAGCCCAGAGGGGCAAGCTTCCTTACCCCAACACTGCCACCGGCTGTTGCAGTCGCTAAGCAGACTTATGCAAGTTCTTGCGCATGTGACCGAACTCGTCAATCTCCAGCCGGGCCTGTGGCGGTTCCTCCGGCAATGACCGGTTGGGCCGCCATCTCAGATCCTGCACGCTGGCAGAGACAAACAGGTTAGATGGCGAGCTCGCTAGACAATCAGTCAGGTAGGTAAGTATGTAGCAGGTGGGCTGGTAGGTACGCAGGTGGTTAGTTTCGAATTAGATTAGTCAGATTAGGCTTGGCCAGGCCAGCTTCCTCAGTCCGTCAGTGAGTTGGTTGGAAAGCCAAACAACAAGTAGCTAGTAGGGGAAGGATACTCGATTTGGAGTTAGAGATCAGGATGCGACTCTTCGCAAACTCCGCGAGAAGTCCTGGCTGGGCCGATCGGGCGGCGCACGCAGCGGAGTGATCCCCGACGGCCGCCACGGCCTGTCGGTAAACATAGATCGCCGTCAACTCTGAAGCACGAAAATGAATTTGTGGATGTTTACACGTTTCCTTTATCTGTGTCTTTATGAATCTTGACAGAGCTGTGTATGGATGCATGGATGCATGGATTCATGGATGTGTGAATGCAGGGATGCATGCATGCATGGCATGTAAGTATGTATTTGTGCATGTAGGCATGCACATGTGTCTGCAATTCTATCTGCATGCCTGCTTGTATGTCTGCATGTGTGCATGTATGTACGTGTGAATGTCGGTGCGTGTATATACACGAAGGCTCATATGTACCTGTTCATGTGCACGCGCATGCATGTGTACAGTGTACACATACAGATGGAAATCTTACTTACTTACAAACATGAATGTGTGTGTATATATATATATATGTGTGTGTAAGTATGCATGTATATGTATGTGTGTCTATATGTATATATATGTGTGTATGTATATGTGTGCATGTATGTGTATGTATGTGTATGCAGATGTATGCATATTGTGTATATGTACATGCTTCTGCTTATTGTATAGTATATGTACCTAAATGTATCTATTTGCATATTTATGTATGTACACTTATGCACATATGTATGTATCGTATGCGTGTGTATACACATATATAAGAGTGGGTGCTGTACATAGATTATAGACGGATAGATATATAGGCAGAGAGATAGCTAGATAGACACATAGATAGGTAGATAGGTAGGTAGATTTAGGCGGATAGATAGGTAGGCAAATGAATAAATGGGTAAAAATACGGAGGTGGAAGTAGGCAGATAGATACATAGGTATAGACATATGTATTTAATTTACATATTCAGTTTTTTGCTTGTGTTTATGCAATCTCAACCCAGCTTTGTCAATTATTAAGGCTGGCTGTGTATGCGACTACCGGATGGTCGAGTGCGATGCGTAGTCTGTCGTGTAAGATGCGGGCTCCAGCTCCAGGTGGTCATCCGGCATGGAGGAGAGCCTGCAGCTTGGGGGTTCGGGGGTTTGGGTGCTTAGGGGTTTTAGGGGGTAGGTAGATAGGTAGGCAGGTAGACAAGTAGATAGGTAGATAGCTATGTATACATGGATGAAGGTATGCTCTCTGTCGGTATGGGGGAAACCCCAACATCCCCCCGGCACCCCATCCACGACCACAGGAGCCATGCCGCATTCCGAACCAGGCCGAGGGGCAGCCACTCACTTTGCTCTGTATACAAAGCAACTGACAGCAACCCTAAAAAACTCCGCCACTTCCACAGTCCACCACCAGGAGCAAACCAGCACGAACAGCAAACCTAAACCCGGCATCTCCTGGAGTGCTGGTCTTATGGACTGTGCGCCAACGCAGGCAAAGCTCTCAGGTTGGAACCAGAGCTGCAGGACACATCCAGAAGCTACGAGTATCTGCAGCTTGGACCGAGGGCAAACGCCATCAATTCGCGTGGGTTGGTGACACGGCTGTCCAAGTTGACTTCTTCGACACAGGCCTTCTTTACGGACGAGCCAAAAGATCGACAAGCTGCAACCATGATGAATCCACATCTGACCCTGGGCACCAGCCTCTTTTCTCCTCCAAGCACACGCGCGACTCGCGACTCCCGGCTCAGCCCCGGCAGCATCACCTCAAGCCGGGACAGCAGTTGCCCATGCGGCAAAGGGTCGAAAGCAGCCCTGGGCCCCAGGTTGACAGCATCGGATTTCCTTCGCTCTGCAGGCAAGTCTAAGTCGTCGGGTGAAACCTTGATCAGGATCGAACCTCAATGGTGCCCACCGTATAACTCAGAAAAAAATAAATATCACTGTTATCACATTCCTCGCCATCACCATGGATTCAACCTGTCCTGAACAAGCCTACAGCGTCAATGTCCCACACATGGTGCACGTGGAGGGACAGGTCGGTTCTGTAGAGCTGTGCTGAAAAAATGTAGTAACTAATGGGAAGCTGTGGCTGACGAATGCGTTTGCGAACCGACTTCAGCAGATTCTCGCATGATGCAGGGCATCTACTGCGAAAGATGGTGTACGCCTAACCTCACCTCTGAATGCCCCTTTGGGCATGGCAGCGATGAGTCACAAATTGCGAGTTGCAGGGCAGAACATGTCATTGCGTCAGTCTGCACTAATTCGACCGAGGGCTCCCGCACGCTAAACTCGTGCAGCCATCAAGCGCGTCTTCAACGACCGTGGCTCCGGGCAGAGGCAGAGCATCACCCTCGACGGTCGATTGGCCTCAGCTCACTTCTCAAGGCTCAAGGCTCTTCTGTCTTGGAACACAACTCTGATCTCAGCTCGTGCCGGGCCACGTGAAGAAGCCAGGAGAACTTATGCGCAGCCCAATCCTTCGAAATGGCAGCACCACGTCTTCTTGCCCGCCGACCAGCCCATCTTGAACTTGGCAAGGCCAGCGTGACAGTCGTATTTGGGAGATCCTTCCATGTGGATCTGTCCCCAATGCCAGTGGCCTCCATCGTTCTCCCACTTCCACTCCATGCCGGCGCCGGCCGCGCCAGGTGGGAAGCCGACTCCTCCGGCAGCACCTCCGGCCACGCCTCCAGCTGCGCCTCCGGCAGCTGCGCCTCCGGCCGCGCCTCCGTGGAAGACGTGGACCTCCGTGTGGGTGTGGGTGTGCCAAGAGCCACCACCAGCAGCCCCGGCGGCCCCGGCGGCCCCGGCTCCGGCTCCCTCGCAGCCCATCTTCTGATTGGCACAGCACCAGGTCTTCTTCGGTGCCGACCAGCCGATGTGCCAATTGGTCAGACCGACATGGCAATCATAGGGGAGCTTTGCGACGGCGCCGCCTGAGACGGTCACAGCAACCCAGGTCCAGTAGCCGTTGACCTGGACGTGCTTCCAGACCATGCCCGCTCCCGGGTCGACGGCCGGAGGCTGCGCGCCCTCGCAGCCCTTCCCCTTCACAGAGCAGCACCAATGCTTCTTCGGGGGAGACCTCAGACGAGACACCCCTCTGCCACCAGGGAAAAAGCAGGCGAACACCAAGCACACCAAAGCTGACAGCCTGACAGCACTGTGTTGAGGGCGCGGCCATGCTCTGAAGAAGTTGTTGAGGGCAGCATCGCAGTCGTAGGGCTCAGAAGTCGCCACATGTACTTCGCAACCAGCAGCTTCGATGGTACAGCCTCTGCAAATGTCGCATTCCACCTGAACCTGGCTGTAGGCCAAAGCGCAGGCATTGCTCCTCCCGCTGAAGTGGTTCTCCTCGGCCCATTTCATGCGCTCAATGCAAAGAGAAGTGTCCCCCCCGTGGTTGCACGGCGCTTGGCAACCCAGTGGGGAAAGCGTGGTATGAGGGCATCCTCTTTGGAAGTGCTCGCAGCAATAGTCACTCTTCTCATCAGACCAATCATCGGGCTCTCCGTGGTAGCAGTGGTGGTCCGCACAGCCCTTCTCATGATGCTCGCAGCACCTGAGCTTGAACGATCGTGCACTTGAACATCTAATTCAAAAGGCGAAAGCCGCTACTTTGAACAAGACCTGTAACATTCGCAAACCTTGCATTTCCAGCTGTGCAGTCAGGCGACCATTGCTTCTTGGAGTCCGACCAACCATGCAGCCAGTTGGAGTATCCGGCATCGCAGTCGTAGATGGTGCCCGTTGCCTTCCCTGCTCCGGCAGCAGCAGCATGAATCGAGGCACCCATGCTGGCATGGATGTGCATGTGTCCTTTCCATGAGCCAGGGCATCCCCGGCTCTCGTGAGCACAGCACCAGTCCTGCTTTGTCTTGGACCACCCAAAGTACCAGTTGGAGTAGCCCGCATGGCAGTTGAAGTGTTTCAGCTCATGATGGCTGGTCTTCACGATCTTGTGATGTCTGATCACCACTTTCGGAGGGGATGGAACCGGCACGTCGATGTACTTGGTTTTGGTGATCACGTTCATGTGGTCCTCCTCATGGGTCCCTGGACAACCACGGCTCTCCTTCCAGCAGCAATACTCCCTGTGCGGGGTTGACCACAAGTGCTTGTAGTCATGAAAACCTTCGACGCAGTCGTATTCATGATGATGATCGTAGATAATGTGCGTCTTGTGGATGATTTTGGGTGGCTCGTGCACAATCTTCGGGACATACTTCTTCACCGCAACGGGCACTTTCTTCACCTTCTTGTCATAGACAACCTTGGGCACTTCCACAGGATGAGCCACAGGAACATACTTGTAGTGGATGTGTGCCGGGGGCCTCTCCCCCTGCACCGGGACGGGTTCCTTGACAATCTTGGGTGGAAGTGGCTTTGAAGGCACCTTGATGTGCACAACTTTGGGCCGTGGCTCTGGCCCCCGCACAGTCACATAGTGGTACTTGGGCACGGTGACTGGAACTGTCTTGGTAACTGGCACATACTTGTCTACGTTCACCACCTTGGTGGGGCATGCGACGCTTTCAGCCCAACAGCACCATTTCTGATGCTTCACTGACCAGGCTCGGTAGTTCATAGCATCTGTGGAGCAGTCAAAGTGGGCATTCGGTGCGTAGACTTTGTGATACACCACACGAGAAGGTCCAGGAACGGGGTATCCCACCACCTTGTCCCGATTTTGTGTGATGTAGTGGTGCTTGATGATGATCTGCTTCGGCGGCGGGGGTGCTGTCGTCGTGTAGAGGATCTCATCTGCTCCCACTACGCTATTACGATGCAACAGAAAGATCATGAAGATGCCGACCAGCAGCCTCGGATGAAGGCCAACAACAGGCACAAGAGCACCCATGCCGTTCGAACAGGAAGAGATACGCAGCGCCGATGCAGCCGAGGGCACACAAAGATCAGGCCAATTGCCACTGCGCAGGCCGACCAAATATTGGTGCCGCGGCTCGCCGTCTTCACCTGGGTGGTTGTCATAATACGGCACCTAATATATTTAGGGTGCCCAACAAGGGGCCAAGATTTTTGACAACTACCCACCTCCTTTTGAATGCTGCCCTTGCCGTGCCCAACAAACACGACATCCTCAGAGGCGGAAGCTTTCATGCTTTCAGAAACGGGTGCTCTTTCTCAACACAGAAAGAGGGGGGAGGGAGGAGGGAGGGGAGGGAGACAGAGAGAGAAGACAGAGAGAGAAGACAGAAAGAGAGAGAAGACAGAGAGAGAGAAGACAGAGAGAGAAAACAGAGAGAGAAGACAGAGAGAGAACGCAGAGAGAGAAGGCAGAGAGAGAAGGCAGAGAGAGAGAGAGGGAACTCAGCCGAGCCGAAAAGTATAGAAACAAAACCAGGCAAGCGGCGCTGACAGTCTCGTAGGCGCCCCTCCCTTGGCCGACGTACGCCCAGTGCTCTGATCGTTTCACCTCTCCGCCGTCGATGGGCTCATCGCAACACATCACCGCCGCCATCACGGGGTAGGGCCGAAAAGCGGAAACTCTCACCTGATCGGTTGGGCACCGCACTTGCGCCTGAAGGGTGCAGCGCTGCGGCAAGAAGGCAATAGGAGCCCACAGTCGGATTCGAACGGAGTCACTTGGACGCACCTGACGAGACCTTCTCGGCCTATGCAAGTACTGACAGGATCTGAACGGCTGTGCAACAGTGTGCAACTACCTCCAGAAGCTGGGCTGCCCACCTGCCACCTGCCACCTGCCACCTGTAGACGCCGAAGGGCCAGTCGGCTCAGAGGCACACCTTGAACCTCCTGATCCTCATCTTCACGTCAGGTGTCTCCACTGTGTCCGTCTGCGCATGCTTGAGAACCGAGGCGCACGGTGGATGAGGCTGCCGTCTTCGGATTGCTGATAAGAACGTGCTCTGACTTTTTCTCTCAGCTGGACGTTGGAACCTGGGCGTCGACACAGAAGAGGGAGACCAAACCCATGACAATTCAAGCTCTCGCCGGGCAGGTTGCTCACTGGTGGCAGATCAGACAGGACAGAAACACTGCACTTGCCAATGCAACCACGAGTTATCAAGCTACAGGATCAGTTCAAGCCAGCCTTTGGGACTGAGCACAGGCAACACTAAAGCCAGTAAAGTATGTCCATCCAAAGGGAGGCGCGGTGTAGCCCTCTCTCCTACGAATTTGCGCGGTCAATCCCCAAAACGTGGGCGGTGTGGTCGGGATGCGAGTTAAACATCACAAATACGCATGGCTTTGCTGCCACCATCAAGAGTCCCGGGATGTAGCGGTCGGAATGCAGGAATGCACGACAAAGGCGAGGGATTTTGACGGTTACCCGCAGTAGCAAAAAGAGTAGAGGCAGGCGAAGCACTGTGGGTCTTACATAGTGATGGAAGTGGCGTCCGCGAAGCACATGTGAACGGTTAGGCGGAGCCCTTGACAAGAACGCAGCATCATTCGAGTACTCGGGGCAATGCACTCACAACTGCGCTCATTGGCACGGCTGCGCTGCTGGCCAGCTGCCTGTCATCGACAGGCTCCCTCACAAAGTCTGGAGTGCAATCCCAGAGCAGAGCTCTGCATTCGAAGATCGGCTCAAGCAGCAAAGCCTCTAGGCTCTAGACCCCAAAACAAAGGGAGGGAGCCTCATTTCGGCTGCCAGCCTGCGAGGTAGCAGCTGAAAGCGGCTCTCTGTCTCTCTGTCTCTAACCCCCCGTCTGCCTCAGCCTCTCATCATGGTAACCCTAAAAAGGACCGCTTAAGAGCTTCTTGGCCTGTCCGGCAGCGCCAAAGAGCACCTCGCCTGGACACGACGCTTAGTTTGCGGCAGCTTGGCGCATTCGTGGCAATTTGCCTCATTCGCCTCATCCGCTTATCTCTCACTTTCGCCCACTGAAGGCTATTGATGATGTTATGCTGATGATTTCAGTATTAACGTGAAGAAGGACCGGCCTGGAAGTCAGCAGACAGAAACGCCGAAGCAATGCTCTGCAAACCTGGCGCCACGCATCCCGAATGTACCCCAGACTTGCATCTGACGGCGCTTGAAGGCCTTCTTTGGCCATGGACTTCAGCTCCACCTCTCTCGCCGCCTTAGCTCCGGTGCTGGGCTGCAGAGATCGCTGAGCCGCCATGACACTCTCGGCATCTCTCAGGCTGCCACGCTGATCAGTGACTGAACCTCGCAAAAGACGGGTCAGGGCCGGGCACCAAGGGCAACCCAATTTCACCCCCGTCATCGGGCCGCGGACCTCAGCAAAGCCTTTGGACAAGGTCTTGTGCAATTCGTCCAAGCGTTGGTCGTCGACGTGCCGCAAGTCCTGTCCACAGCTCCGCTCCAAGACTCTCTAACTCCTGGCCTGGACGACAAACATATTGGGGTTCTGCATATTTCCAACAACACCACAGTCCAAGAGTTAAGCTGAATCACCAGGTTGACATGCGAGCCTTATTCAAACGAGAAAAATGTTGAATGTCTTGTTGTCGACGCAAAAACACACACACACACACACACACACACACACACACACACACACACACACACACACACACACACACACACGCGGGTGTGCGTTCGTTCTTGCGTGCATGGGTGCATGCTGCATGGTTGCAGGCATACATTTATCTATCTATCTGTCTGGCTGTCTGTCTGTCTGACTGGCACCTGACTATGACACGCATGTGTGTGATGCATGTTCATGCATGTGTATACATCTGTCCAGGTATGCTTTCAGACCGCTTCCAGAGTACTGCAAGCATCTGATGTGGCAAACATCAAAAACAAAGAGAAACGGACGCCTGCAGATGACTGCATAGATAGAGACAGATGAATGGAACACATTTTGAGACCGCGACCGCCCCGGAGTCGTTTCGCGTGCAAGCTTGCATTCGCAGCTTTTTAAACACCAAACTTCGGCTGCAATGCTTTTTGTGATTCCTGCAGAGCTTCTTCTGGGCTGTACTAGGCTTGCCATGCTCGTCACACATGTTCCACCGTCTTCCTCTCAAAGCACGATGCTCTCCCAGCTGCTAGAATTACCATCTTCGTCGGCATCTCCCCGTGTCAGGATCGTCATAACCAAGGGATAGTGAGCTCCAAAAGGAGGCTTTCCCGTGTCATGCCAGCACGACCCATCGAAAGACGAAAAAAACTCCACACTCTCACACCAGTGCACAAACCCAAGTCTTGGCTTCAAGGAACGACTCCAACGGTACGTCGTTTCTCACACATCAGCCCCTTCGGCTCAATGTTCTATAATTCTATAAGGCCTCTAGAAAGGCTCTTGGAGGTACTGTGAAAAGGCCTTTGCAGCTTGTGACCGTCTGATGCAGAAAGATCGAGCGCCTGCATCCATCGCAACTCCAGCTTGCCGGTCTTCGGCAGCTGTTTCGCCAACTCCTGAAGATCGCAGGACCAGAATGCAAGGTCCGGAGCAGTACGCTATGCCCATGCAACGAAGCGAGCCAGACATGGAGACGCCAAGGGAAGCAGAGACTCCGTATCACAAGGGGCTGAAGGATTTTTGACTGTTGACGCTAGGGTTTTTGTTGAGCGCCTGTTTCCATCTGCCTGAACAGTCGTCCGGAACCTCCCTTGGAGGAGGGTTTGAGGTTCAGGATTTTGGGTCAAGACACCGAGGCACCAACCTGCAGGTGCTTTTTGGAAGCTTGCCCCACGGCTAGCCTCGCCTGTCAAGGTGTCACACAGATGCGAACAGCATATCACCAATGACAGTAACTAGCAACATGACCCAGCCACTGCTACCACAAGTGGCAACATGATCATAACTACTACCACCATCCACCACCATCGAAGCATGTAATGTAGAGGCCTTAATGACTGTAATAGGGCTTTGGGTGATATTCTACTATGTTTACAACATGGAACCCCCAAAACCCCTATTCTGATTCCTAAGGCCCCCAACCCCTGATACATAGAACCCTACTATAGATCCTGTATAGACCCCATTAAAAAGGAACCCTATTCTAACGCCTAAGACCCCTACAGACGCAGCCGATAAAAACAGCTGAGAGGAAGCATAACCCTAAACCCTAAACCGTGGCCTCTCGGAGTTGCAGCAAAGCCTTGCCAAGCTCCTGCTAAGGACACGACTCCGGGGGGAGCTGGGGTCCTTTGAAGGGCTCCCTTAAAGGGTTCTATAAGGGAATTGTAAGGGATTCTTGAAGGGTTCTATAAGGGATCCTTAAAGTTTAAGGGGGGTTCTATAAGAGATCTATAATAGGGTGGGTTCTATATTAATATTAGGGTCCTGTAAAGATACTCTAAACCCCTAAAGGAACCCTTAAAAGAACCTCAAACCCCTAAGAGGAGCCTTAGGCTTCTTAAGGCTGCTATTCGGGCATGCGCCGGTTTCTGACAACTAGCGGTACCCAGTTGGGAGCTTCCGAAAAATAGGGGGACCTTCTCTTGGGGTCCTTATTATGAGGATTCTGCTATTTCGGCTACTATGTTAGGGTCCCCTACTTTCGGAAACTCCCATTTAGGCAGAGGATCAAGGTACTTGCTGCTGCTCTTTGGGTTTGGAGTTTTGGCCTCTTTTTTGGCATTGAGTTGAAAGTTTCATTTCTCAGGGCATAGATCCTACCGGATGGATCGAAACAATATTCAACTGCAGCCAACGTCGCATAAGCTGACTGATGTTCAATGGCTTCTGGCATCTTGTGGCGGTACAGTCCTGCATCAAATGGCTCAAGCTACGGCGCAACCAGCACAGCGCGGCATCCTTTGCAGCGCATGCACATCTCCTATCGACTACGTTGCGTAATGTGTCAACGTGGACAACCGGACCTCTTCTGAAATTCGTGTACTAGGCATGATCGACTCTGCCGTTGAAGTTCAGCATTTCTGAAGGAGTGGATGGGGGCTTTGAACCTAAGGGACCAAAACCTGACCCCAAATAGCGGCATCCTTCACCTTTGAATCCCTAAAGACAACCCTTAGATGATCTCGTATCTCACCAGGACCCACGGCAATTCATTGGCATCATGTTGTACCACGGATCTGGTGCTTTGTGACGTGCACCTATCATATATATCCCTGCTTCTTACCTGCTTAAGAGAGGGAGAGCTCCACTTCAGGGTTGCTGAGGGCAGCTCGCCGCCCGCCGCCGCGACTTTTTGGTAGAGCTCCAGGGCCTGGGACTTCAGTTCAGTTCTTTTTTTTTTTGAGCACCTTTTTCCACCTAGCAGTTAAGGTCGGCGGAATCCACATTGTGGAAGGCTACAGGGCGTAGCGCTTAGGGGTCTAAGGGCTGCTAAGGGCTTAGTAAGGATTAGGCCTTTGAAGGGGTTTGGGGGTCTTTCGGAGTCTGGGAATCTTGTGAGGGTTCCGGGCGTCCCGCAGCGGCCACGCCTATCTGAGTTGCAGGCCATGAGGAAGAAGCCTAGGCCAAGAAGGGGATTGTGCTTGATTTGCTCTCCAAAGCAAGTCGAAGCGGAGACCCAACGCGGAAAAGTGAGGACGTCCTGGGCTTCCAAATTCCCTGGCTATCCTCACCGAGCGTCAGAAGCGATCCAGGTGTCTGCACAGGTCGAGGAAGGCCTTTCTCGCCTCAGCTCGGAGTTTGCTCAGGACTCATGCATAATACGTACTAACGTGTATGAACAGAAACAGAAAGAACAGTACTGCATGTATGTGCCAGCGAGCCTCTACGTGGGATTCCTGCGCGAAGGCTGCCAGCAAGCCAGAATCTGCGAGGCCCATTCACTTGACAGATACTCCATGTTCTGATGCTGTCTTTTGTCGCCTCGTCCAGCTGAAGGTTCGGACCAATTTTGGCTCATCTCCTTTTGAGGCGATCAACTGTTTGAAGGAAACGAAGTCTGCGCCCAGGTCGAGGTCCTCCAGAAGAGCGGCAAAGGATGTCGTCGCTGCACCTTGAAGTCAACGGGAGGGCTGCCCGCCACTTGCAGTTCACATGTTATTACCGCTGCTGTGTTATGATTATGTTCATTATTGCTGCTATGATGATGATTTACAGCAGCAGCAGCAGCAGCAGCAGATCAATCACGTTTATTGCTACATGTAGTATCAGTATTGGTTCTACTTACTACGATGATTATATTAGCATGTTTGTTATGACCAACATTACTACTACTGCGATGATAATCATTATTGTGAATGTGCTGATCTTGTTGCTAGCATTGGTGCTCTTAGTAATGTTCTCGTTATTGGGATTATTGTCACTAATATGATTGTCTTGCTGCTTTACTAGTGATGTGTGTATATATGTACATAAACAAACAGAGAGAGAGAGAGAGAGAGAGAGAGAGAGAGAGAGAGAGAGAGAGAGAGAGAGAGAGAGAGAGAGAGAGAGAGAGAGAGAGAGAGAGAGAGAGAGAGAGAGAGAGGACATCTTCAGGTATACACGTATACCCTATCTATATACATACTTATTCATTTGGTTGCTTCTATTTCTAAATGTATAAAGGACTCATTTCTAAATGTATAAAGGACTCGGATTTCTTAGGACCAGGCTGCGCTCCAGCTCCTGGAAACATGCGCAGTTGCACTGCGTGCTGCGGCTCATGCAAAGCCTGCCTGCCTCAGTATCTAATGCAATGAGCACCCCTGGCCTCACCGCCAAGCCGACGAAAGTGCGCCTGGGGAACACCCCTCACCAGGCCAGAAGTTGCCAGAGAACAGCTTCGAAAGTCCAAACTACGAATGCCTCGCGAAGGAGAGCAGCTATTAGGCGTCCACTTTCGGTCGACCTGCAGAGCAGAACTACCAGTCTCACTACCTGCGCAGCGAGCCCAAAAGATGCCTGCAAGTTAAACTAGATTCAGACATGTGCCTCTCCTCACCAAGCGGAACTCAGGATCAAGCAGATCGAAGACAGAGGACTCGGAATCGGCCTGCAGCTGGCAGCTTCCCCCAAAGCCCTTTACCCTCTCTCCGAGACGGCGAAGCGGCAAAGCCGACACGCAACTCGAAACAACGACTGCAAGTATCCTAAGCCCGAGACCCTATAGACCCTAAACCCGATACGCCCCAAACCCTCATGCAGTACATGCAGAGTCCCACCTTTGCTGCCTCGAGCAGCTCTGAGAAGGCGAGCCGCTGCTTGTGATCGACCTTCGGCTAAGGGTTTAGGTCTTAGGGTTTAGAATTTCGGGTTTAGGGTTGATTTAAGGCCTAGGGTTTGTAGGGTTAGGTTCATTTTTGGGGTTTAGGCTGCGGGTTTCGCGCTTAGGGCTCATGTACCGAACCCTCGCCACCGACAACCCGACACCCAACCTCCTGCCCAAAGCAAGCAGCCGTGATAGGATCATGATGACAGCAACAACACTCTTCATGATTTCTGTGGCAGCAACAGCAATCATGGCAGCAAACAGTAAGGCTGCCAACACCAGTGACAAGACGATAACAACAGTCGTCACCAGGTTTAATGCAACATATCAATGATGATAAAATTTGCGAGAACAATCGCAATGTTACAGACCTTCAACCCCAGAATCCTAAACCCCGTAAGCCCTCAAATCAAACTCCAAGAATGTAGATGCCGAAACCCTTGAAGCCTAAAAAAATCTGAAACCCAAAAGCCTTTAAACCCTAAACTCCACATCCCCAACCCCTAAACCCTGAAACCTCTAGCCCCAAAGCCCCCAAAACCCCTAAACCCACATGCCCCTAAACTGCCCTAAACCCCAAAGCCCCCCTCAACCCACATGCCCCTAAACCATCCTACAAATTAGTCCAAAAAAACCCTAAAACCCCCTACCCACTCAATTCTTTTGCCCCCCCCGCCCCCCCTCCAAACCGTTGGGCACCGGGCCGACTCCGGGCGGCTGGGAGCCGAAAGCGAGAAGCGCAGGACCGGCCTCGAAGTTCCGAGGATCCTACACTTTCCAGTCTCTAGTGCAAGGTGAGCTTACTTCCGAAACTCCCATAACTACGTATAACTACATATAACTACATAAAACTACAACATCTCAGAGAAAAACCAGGGTGAGAGAACATGCATGGATGCATCACTGCGGCGCAAGAGGATAGAGCCCATGGCGCCAACATGAACTCTGCAACGCCGCCTCGAAGCTACCGAGTTCAAGGACAATGACTATATAGTAACTAGTGAATAGCCATATAGTAAACTATATAGTAACTAAACTAGTAAATATATAGTCACTAGATAATAACTATATAGTAACCAAATACTAGCAATTTGGTTACTAAATATTCGAGCATCAGCACCGGAATGCTAAGATTCCGTCATCGTCGATTCCACCAACTCGCGGCCAAGGCCGAGAAGCTGCCCAATCTGAAAGCATGCATTCGTTGCAATACATGTTGGATACTATAGTAGCTACTACATTGGTTACTATATTTGTTACTATATAGATTGGCTGCTATGTAATAATTATGTGTGTGCTTATATGGCTTGACAGACGTGCAGAATGATCCCTGCTACAGAGCAGCGACAGCGACAACGAAGCACGACGGACCGCAACAGCGACGGGGCGGTCGAAACACAAAGAGGCTGCACAAACCGCTTAGGACAGTGGCATAAACCCCGAAATCTCGGATCGAAAGTTTTGGGCCCACTGGCTCTGCTAGGCGGTGAGTGGAATGTTCCTGGCCTTCACCTCGCCGGTCCTCTCCAGGGATACCTTTAATAGTGTGAAACAGAAGGGCAAAGGAATGAAGACGAGAATGATACTCGTGGCAAAATCTACACTGACTGTCGACACTTCGGTGTGCTTGTGCCGCTGTATCTTCAGCCCTCAGTAGAAGTCAAAGAGCGAAGACGGGACGTTCTTGAGATCAAACTGATCGAACTCGTAAGCATCCCAGCATTCCAGGAGCTTAGGGGGTTTCAGATATAGGGTTTGGGTGGAAATTGTTTTTGCCCCTTTTTTTGATTTGGCCTCCTTTTTGTTTGGGGGGGGGGTGGGGGTGGGGCTGGGGGTTTCGGGTTTAGGGGGGCGTTGCCTACGTTCCCGGGTTTCGGGTTTAGGGGGGAGTTGCCTCCGTTCCCATAGGGAAAACTTTTAGTTTGTTTATATTCCCCTAATGAAACCCATCTTTTATCAAGTTTTCAGGTGGAAAACCAAGATTTTTTCGATATGTCCATATCTACATCCATAGACCCGTATTTGTCTATGTTTACTTCTACGTTTACGCAGGAAAACAAACGAGTGAAGTTGTTTTGGGGGCATTTCTCTTTGTTTGGTGTTTATTGTTGTTCCTTGATTCGTTGTCTTGGTTTTTCCTAGGAAAAGCGACGGACACAGACGCAAAGTGCTCTCCACTTATGGTGTGAGTGGGTGGCGATGGAACTCAACTTCACTGCCTAGGCCCCCAGGACGTTTTCTTCCCTCCTTCAGCCTGCCTAGACCCAAACTTTCCACTCCCTGAGGGTTTCAACACGCGCGTCAATCGCAGCGGCGCCATTGAAGATGACAAAATGCTTGCTCATATGGGACGGTTGAATGGCATGTCTCGAAGACGCGTGTGCTCAAAGGCTTTGTAGTGGGAACGGCACGATGGCAGGTGGGAGGCTGCTGTTTGGACACTGTGCTGTCAACAATTGTGCAGGATTGAAAGAGTCGCACGTCATAGTGGCGCGCAGCGCACTTCACTGCCACATCGCTCACACAACCAGCATGCACATCTTGGCCTAAGGCAGAAGCGGCAAGAGCTGCGAGAAACGCAGCGCTCGGGATGTGGTACTCCATCTTACCCAACGCGGCTTTGCACGCACTGCCCCAACCTGCTTTTTCTTCCTCCTCAGTTAAGTCGTAGTAGAAAGCACGGGTCGCACGTTGAGCAGCTGTGGACATGCGCATGAGTGGCAACTTCCCTTCGATTTTAGGGCCACAAGAATCAGCAGCGCAGGCCCATATGGCTTGGAACAGGGACTGCACTATTCCTGGATCCTGCAGACCAATTTCCCCATGAACGATCGCCCTGCGAGTTGGAGACATAAGAATCCGGGCGCTGAAGCCACACCGGTGTGCAGCTTCAACTCGGCACCACCAAGTCTCAAAAAGGGAAAACTGCTGGCACAGGCAGAGGTTTATATTTGTGGGGTCGAACTCCAACGGTCTGTCATGAGCCGCGAGAGGGTTTTCCGGCTGAGCGCGCTGCACCTGCAGCCGTTTCTACTCCTCACCCGTACCCCACTCGAAGCGCCCTCCGTTCGCGTCCTCTAGCCAGCGCGTGAGGTCAAGAAACTTACCGGTGTCTACAGTTTTCTTGGTCGGGAAGGCTGGGTCTAGAACAAGCTTAGACTCTGGGCCCTGCAGCAGCAACGTACCATCCAACGCCGGGAGGCGGTTCTGAATCCTATTATTGTTCCCCACCCCGATCCAATGCTGTTGCGCATATAGGCCTTGCGGCCTGCTGCGCACAAAATTCTGAAAGGCACTCATGACAAAGGAACAGGTCGGCGACTTGACCTCGTTGGGATCCCCTGTGGGGCATGCCCACCACCGAGCTTTTGTTGTGTGCTTTTCAATAGCATCAGCCCAGAGTGCGATAGTCAGGGATTTGTGTTGGCAAGACGCTAGGCAAGCTTGGAGCATGTCAAACGCAAACTCTGCGGGTAAGCCGCACCCAAGATGCAGATACTCGCAGGCAACAGCCAGCGGTAAAGGCGCCGTGTGCCCGAGGACATGAGGCAGTCTGGAAGCTTGTTCCATGGTGATGTCCAGCCTTCTTTGAGAACGCAGGCCCGCCAAGGCATGCTGGTACACTTCCTGAAGCGAGTGCTCGCGGATGTACTGGCTATACACAGGCATGTGGCGCCAGTTGCTCATGCGAATATCCGCAGGTGCATCCTTTGAATTCGCGAGTGTGCAAAATCAATGGTGCACCTCACCAGCAGGGTCCATCCGGAAGCAAGCCACACCCAACGGCCGAGGGACTTCGGCTTCTCGTTCTGAGCTATCCGCTTCTGCATCCTGCCGCGCACGGGGCACAGGGGGAACATGCGGGACAGGAGCTGGGGGACTCGGCAGAAGGCCACCAAGCGAAACGGCAGCAGCCGGCGGAAACTGCTGGGCATGTGCGGCAGCGAACGACAATGCCGTGGGAGCAGCAGGAAACTGTAGCTCTGATAATGCGGCATGTCCTTGTCTTGTCGGCAGGGCTTCAACTTCAACCTGTGAGACTGCTAGAACACCCAGGCTGCTGAGGTGCTCCAAGTCCAGTGGCTCGTCTGTGTCAGGCAAAAGATAAAGGGAAAGAAAAATTGGGTCCCCTTTACGGCTTGCACCACAGAGGACAGCTGGGGCAGGTAGCGCTTCATGCAGCATTAGAACCCATAAACAGCCTAGTGCAACAGCATCTTAGCACCAGGCCGTCTGTTGGAACAAGCGCTCCAGGTGCCTGCAAACCTGCGCAAACCAGAACCCTACTAAGTCCTACAGTAAACCCTGCACTCTCAATCCAACCTAAGCCCCAAACCGTACGCCCGAGACCCTGAACCCGGAACTCCTAACCCTCAACGATGCACGCCAATCCGGGTAAAAACCTCCGATTTCGAGTCCATAAGCTGCCCTCGAACAGGTGGCTGACTTGACTTTTTCCATGTTGGTCGGGTTTTTGGCCTGTCAGCTAGCAGCTACGGTCGGCAGCTAAACCCTAAACAGAAACCCTAAATCTTAAGCCCTAAAACCCTGACCCTAAAACCCTAAGCCCTGTGAACCGTAAACCCTGCAACACAAAACCTAAAACAAATCCAAGCTGCGGGGTTGGGGTCGGGGAGGCTGCGATTCTTTCTTTTTGCGCTATCCTTACAGAGATTATTGTAGCTGCCCGTCACTATGTACTTATTGCATAGTAACTACATCTTCATTCACAAGTACCCCTGGTTGTTGTATAACCATTATACCGCCAGTATACAAATATTAAAGCTACTTTTGTTATCGTACCATTAGAATAACTATTATACTTGTTCTATGGTCACGGTCGCCACCCTGGTCCCTGAAGCAACCGCTCTCATGTTACCGTTATGATTGACACCCTTCCCGACTCTACCCTGGACCGTGAACCCTGCAAGCATTCCGAAATCCTTTAAGCCCTATGAACCTCATCACCCTATCAACCCTATAATCCTTATCAGCAAGGTAAACCCCTAAAAACCCTAAGCCCTAAGCCCTATAAACCATAGACCTAAAGCAATTATCAAATACGTACGTGTATGTATGTATATATATATATATATATATATACATATATATATATATACATATACACACATACGGGTTTGGATTTCTAAACCTATACCGTATATGCCTATGTGTGTGTGTATATATATAATGCATATGTATATATATATATATATATATATATATATATATTGTATACATATTATGTATATATTCCTGCGACGGGCTTCCCGGACCAGACGGCTGCAGTGTCGCTAATCTTGCCATCTAGAGCACCCAAGCTGTGCGCTTGCTTTAGGGTTTGGGGTTGAACGCTTTTGTAGGGCTCAAAGATTCGGGCTTCTTGGGTTTAAGGGTTTCTCACGGCTTAGAGTGCAGGGCGGGTTGTTCTGATTTAGGGTCTAAACGGGTTTAGGGTTTAAGGTTCTGATTAGGGTTTAGGGACGGTGGCAACACTGCAACAGTGTGCATTGGATGGCCGACCCTCGAATTCCGCGGGCGAAGACGCGAACCACGAGGTTTCACACCCTGTGTCTTGGGGGGACATGAACACTTGCCCGAGACATCTACACTAGGCGCTCAACTTTCAACCCTAGACCCCACAAGCTGCTGAAATTAAGCCCTGAACCTTCGACCAAGCACTTCAGCCCGCATGGAAAACGACTGTTCCCAGATCGCGGCCTGCCTCCTGCAAACTCCCGAATCGATTTAGGTTACGTTACAACGTGTGTGGCCTGAGGAGATGTGAATGCAAAGAAGAATCATAGCTCAGACTTTGAGCAATCCCAGGCACTTCGACAACTGTAGTCATATACTCATCATTCTAACTACTACAAAGTTACTGCATGGCCATTATATAGTAGATTAGTTACTATATAGTTAAGTACTGTTTCTACAGACCGGGAGCTGCAGGAGGCATTCACTGCCTCACTGCGGCGACCTGTCGCGACTACCAGATTTCGAATTGCTCGATTCTGCCAGGGGTCGGAGAAGGGAGCCCATGCACCTGGGCAGCGCACCGGCGGAAGTTCCCTAAGCTCCCGGTCCGCTTCAACACTCTCGGCGGCATTTCACACAACCAAAACTCGGCGAGGGGTCGGTTCGTGTGCCACTCACGTGTCATCATCTGCATGACGGGTCTCCCACACGGCCGGGCAAAAACTCCGGACCAGGATGTAGGTACATGTCTCTGTGTGGGTATGTATACAATCATATACATATATATATGTATATATTTATTTATTTATTTACATATATACATACTGTTGGATACACGCATATGTATATTCTCTAAGATGCGTTCTACTCCGAATCTTTGTGGAACCGAGAGCAGCACCGGACCTCGCTGCCGCTTACGACAGCGTCCGAACCTCGAGGTTTAGGGGCTTGACTGGTTTCGGGAGTCACGGCATAGGGGTCTTGCAGATTGCAACATCACTACTGCTCTTGAGCTCGCAGGAAGCGGCTTAACAAGCTGTCTGAGCACCCGTGTGCTGCTGATTTCCCCTAAAGTCTAAAAGGTGCCATGCAAATCTGAAGCACTAGATCGAGGTCCGACCAGTGACGCCAAGTGACAACCTGTGCAAAGTTGTATAAGTTGCGTGTGAAGTGATCCTGCAGGGAGGTGGTTTGGAGCCAGTAAGCATCGCAAGCAGTCAACCGGCAACCTGATGAGGTGCAGCACCCAGCACCACCCTGGACTTGCTATTTACCACTACTACTCCTACTCCAACCGCTACCACCGCCCCACCACTACGACTGCTACCACTTCCTCCTCTTCCGCTTCTTCATTTCCGCTCTCAGAATCCCTGCTATGAGCAGGCCGTGCAGTCGTCCTTGTTCTTCGTGTTCATGCTATTTTCGACTCCGGCCATGAGGTCCTGGCTCACCAGTAAGCTCGGGACATGAAGAGACTGCAACTTCGGCTGGAGCTTCTGGGTTTGCGGGGTTTAGGTCGCAACATGCCGGCACGACATCGAAGTAGCTTCGCAGCTTGGGGCGACGCTCTTCAATCTGCTGGTTGATGAGCTGCTCCTGCCCCCACCAACAGGTTCACGCTGTGTCCCTTCTTTTCTTGGTCACCGAGCCGCGGCCTTGAGCTGCAGGAAATTCTGCTCGTGGAGGAGAATAAGACCCAGCCTGGGCGTATGGGTGTAGAATGAGACGCTAAGCACTTTGGCCGGGGATCTTCCTCTTCCCTACAGAGACAGACAGATGAACCTGCACACGCCTGGAGTTGCGTGTCTTTTGTTTGGGCTCTTCTGCAATTCTGCATGTGTCTACTGTAACTGTCTCTTGATTTGCATGTCTGTCCGCCTGTCTGTTTGTACGATAGACAGCTAGTTTAATCATCTTTGCAGCATATCTCTAATGCACGACCCAGGTCGCGCACAAAGGGCGGCTTATCGACCACATAGAGCTGAACTCACCTGACAGGTGTCGTCTCTTGAATGCTGGCAAACTCTTTTCAATTGCATTCCCCGTTTCTGCTTCTTCGCGCCTGTCATGACCAGTTGGAACATGAGGTGAAGGATCTTCTGCAGGCAATGAGGTGCCTCCGACACAAGAACCCATGCGGCCCTCAATGGTGCACGTGGACTCTCGCGTCGGCTCTGCGATCGTGACTCGAGACAGCTCTTGCTAGAACATTCTGACCTCCTGCAGGTAGCGTCGAACGCGCTCCTGACAATCGCTCCGATGCCCCCAGAGCCCCAAACAAACGGCAGTCCAGGCATCGACACATCTCGTTGCAGTCCTGTTCCGGGGTCGACTTCCCGGTGAGCTGTGAGTGGAAGTACGAGATCACATTGTCCTGGCAGGATGCCGACCCTTCCACTCACAGCTGTAGTCTGTAGGCTAGATTCTCTCAAGAACCCGTCAGGCGCAGACAAACTTGCCGGAAATTCGACAACTGCGCAGCTTTGCATTTGCACACCGGTCTCGAAAGAGAGGAGGCCTGCCAACGAAACGGACCACTTTTGACCGGGTCACAGCGGTGATGTAACTGAAATTTGGCAAGCTTCAATGTGTTTACTAGTCATCAAGTTTCTTAACAACGACTCGAAGCCAGTATCAGTAACGGAAGCTCTGTGATTGATGCCTCAGGATCTTCGGACGTTGTATTCTTCGCAATTCACATGCATGACGCTCTGTCTGTGTGTGCTTAAGTCAGCCCCATTACAAAAACTTTGCCCTGTGCCCTGAGCTGGCTCATATTGCTCAGCATCGTGGGTTAAGTTACCAAGAACAAGAGACCAGCTGCAATCAATGTGTTCCCCATCCACCCCGTCGCGGTGTCGCATATGTCCATGTAGTAGTGCATCCCGGCGCGGTACTTGGGCAGTTTCGAACACTAGCGTTTCAATTTGATACAGAAAAGATCAGAAAAGTCCTGCTGCTGGCTGTCCCTTGTAATCACTGCGAATGCTCAGCATCACGGTATCGTGGTTCCAGTTGCTGCCATTCCAGCTTCTCACATCAACTCCATGCAAGAATGCGGCTTTGCCGGTTCTCAAGCCTTGTTGTGTACCAAAGGAGTCTGCCAAGCAGAGCTCGTGCAAGCCGTGCTTCGGGTGCTCGTTTCAGGCGGATTGACCAAGAAGACACTCGAAGTTTCGCCAACGCAACACGTTACTGGTCAGCCTACGCTCAAAGAACAACCTCGGGGAATTTGAAGCCTTGCGTGTGACGGCCTGGCTCCATGGCGCAAAGAGACTCGTTGTGAATATCTGCTTGCCTATATCAGAGCCTTCGACGAGTTCTCACTAGCTGCGGCTGGCCTTCTTCTACACTCTGCATCAGCGAGGTGAGCATGCCCGAATCCAGCTCCATGACCTGCATCCGCGTGCAGAAGATCGCCCTAAAAGAAAACCAAGAGCTGGATAGCTCCGGCCTTCGACATGTGGCCACGAGTAGCCAACCTTACAAATCCGATGTTCAACGAAAGGAGTGAAGTTTGCAAAGCAGTTGCAGAAGAGCTTTCTGCCACGGGGCTCCACGAAGTAGTAGTACGGCTTCAGGGCCTTGAGGTATGCATTCAGCTCCTGCACGCCGGCCGGCCGGTTGCATCATCAGCCCAATCAACACAATCGTCATCATGATCATCATCATCATCATCATGGCAGCTTTGGTTTGGGAAGAACCTATGGGAAAACAATAGAGCGCGGCCATACTGTAGCATAGCTCAAACAAATCACGCGAGCTAGCTATATCGCAATCACAAGAAC